CCGTTACGTAACTTTAATATTTGTTGTTGGGAATTTTAAAGTTTAAGAAAACAAAACTTTCTTAGTATCTATTTTATTTTATTAGAACTTTAACTGAGTTCATAGTGCTAAGATCCGACCGGAAAATATATTTACATCTTAAAACATACAATTTCGAATCGCACCTTTTATGGCTTATATGGATTGTATGGGACCGGGCTAGGCATAATTATACAGCGCAAATCTGTGAAACTGTAAAGGGGCGATGAACGATGCGAGGTGGCACGAATCGGGAGTTGGAAAATGGGCGGCGGTGGCGTCGGCGTGGCAAGTCAGGTGAATGTGAAAATTGCTTAGCAAAAAATAACAAAAAACAAACCAGAAGAAAGAAGAAGAAACTTTGACTTTCGAGCATGGGGATGGTTCCTAAACAAACACGGACAGGACAACTTTGAGTTACGATGGAGCACGCACATGAATGTGTGTGTGAGTGTGTTTGTTTGTGTTGGTGTTGCTGTGTGTGTGTGTGTGTGTGCCGTGCATGAGTAATAGTAATGATGTTGGCCCACTCAAGAAGTAGAACAGTCCCCTCTTCCCATCTCCCTCACCACCCAACCAGCGCCATCAGGCTTATGAATAAATTAAGAGGGGAAAAACCCCACCCCCTCTCCTCTCCACCCCCTTCTCACAAACAAAATGGGGACAGAAGGCGCAAATAAAAAAGAGCAATTTAAATGCGAACAAAAAATGTTGAGGCATCTCTAAGGAGCTGGGTGGGGGGCTTCGGGGGCGGTGGAAGGTGAGATAAGGCCAGGCGGCAACTGAAGATAATGCCGTTTAAATAGAATCCCTGGCAAAGGTTTTTCGCTGGCAACGCTTTGGGCCAAGTAAACTGCAAGACATAAAGAAAATGACGCCACTGACAAGCTGATGGGCTGACGGGTGAGGCTGTCACCTGAGGGGAAAGAGGCAGAGAAGGTGAAGCGTCGCTCGCACAGGTGATTTACATAGCATACTTAAGTGGAGCACTTTGTGAACCCCATTCCCTCCGCATTTGGGATATCATCATCATCAGTCCTAACAAATGTCGCCAACACACTCTCACACAGCTAAAGAAAGAGAAATATAGATGGTAAACGAAAGAGATAGGAAATCAGCTAGGCAACAGCCAACTGAAATCATAAAAAAAAGCATTTTATGAATAAAATGTATTACAAGCGACAGCATACGGAGTTTGACATTTTTATTATGCCAGCGAGGGCTGAAATCAGATAAAAAGAATAACGATGGAGAAAATGAAACATTGATGAGATGCACTGTAAACAAAAGTTATAAAACTGGAAATATGGTAAACCCATAAACCATTGCTTTCATACGACAAATTGTTTTAAAAGAAAAATTGATTTACTCAAGTGTTTTTCATTTACTGGTATAGAATATATAAGTAAAGTATAGCAAAATATAAGTCTTAAAATGAATATCAACTAAATTTTATAGGGGTTTATGCTATACAGCTTTAATATCTCTTCCCAAAACATTTTTTATCTTATAAGCTCTTTCTCCCACCCAAAATATTTCGTTTGAGAACTGCGAGTAAAGCGGAAAAAAAGTTACGTATCCGGCAAAGTCAAGTGTCAAGTTTGCCAGCCAGTCACAGTCGTAGTGGGATTCCCCGGATTAGTGGCAAAAAAACCGCGCAACAGACGAGGACAAACAAGTTTTAAGCATTAGTCGTAATCGGATAAGGGGCAAAAAGCATTGGGTGAACAGAGTCAGGAACAGTGTCCCTTGGAGCGCACCTAATTCAATTATTATTGCCACTCCCCCCCCAAAAAAAGGGAGTCAGGGCAGCGGCATCAGAGGACACAAGCCAAGCTGGCTAAACAAAATGTATTTTAAATAAATATGATTTATTATGTTTGACATGGCCGGAAAAAGGTATGGATGGATGGCTTCTCATCCCAGAACGGAGTGGAGGCAATCTGCTCGAAGGACAGCCAAAACTGCTGTGCACTCAAAGTAAATTTGACTCAAGGTACACATGGTTTTCTTTTTTTTTTTTTTTTATGGTGCCACAAGGAAGAGATTGGGGCAAACGACCTGACCCCGGGGGAAGGATTTTGGCTGCCACCTTGTGGAAAGGCTTGAATCATCAACAGGTTGAACGGGGCTTGGGTTGGTTTGCGAAACCCCCCTCAGATTCGGTTTTGGATTGACAAACGTGAAAAGGAAAATACGTAAATGCAATATAAATTTACTGTATGATTGATATTGGTTATGCTCCAACGAACGTGTGTCTATATACGTGTGGGTATATATTTATATATACTCTCTATATATATATGGAGGCAGCCTTAATGGCGGTGATATAATATTGACACAGAGCACAAGAGCTGCCTGGAAAATAACCAAAAAATATATTGCCAAGAGATTGTGGGTTATTAGCGGTGTGTGTGTGGGACGAGTGAAGCTTTTGACTCCTCTTCTGATCCAGAAAATTGAGGGAAATGATGGAAATCGCATTGAAATTTGTTCAATCCCCCAAAGACTTTAAGCCCATGCCAGTGTGAATAAGTAACTGACTTGTCAACTTCAGCAAAGTTTTATATTGAATTAAAGCTTCAAACAGAATGCATTGAATTGCATAAAGAAAAAGATATCAAGAGAAAATTTACAATAAAATTCCTTAAAGAAAATGAAAATAAATCCCTAGAAGAATAAACTAAAAAGGGTGTTGAAAATTGTTCTGTGCCTAAAATAAATTTATATTTACATGCATAATAAAGAAAGACAACCTGCATATTTGATGTTCAAGCTTGAAAGGTCGATGAAATTCTGCAGTCTTGCGCCATGGCAATTATTTTGCCCAGGAAATTTTTACATATTTGTATGCAAGGAAATTTAAACATATCACAAAAGACATTTATTTAGCAAGTTAATGTTATGCAGTCTGAAATGTCATATGGATAATCATTAGTTCCTGCCTTACCTGAAGACAATGGAAGTTCATTGGACATACCTCTGGTCTGGGCTCTAAGCTCATAATCTCCATAGATCAACGCACAATGGCTATAAATCTGTTTAGTCTGGGGTAACATGATTTAGCCGTTCATAAATTCTCACTGTTTAGTTCTAATCAACGGGACAAAGCTCAACTAAATACCACGCCAACCGAGTGAGAATATCATTGGAAACCACGTTTAAGCCCGAAAGGATATACATATCATATGTCAGAGAGAGGGCGGAATGGGTGGTCGGATGATGACGTGTGCTTTTGTGCGGTGGCAACCAGTTGAATATGGAATTGCATTTATATTGAATTGTCGAAGAGAGTATTAAAATTGGCAGGGACTTTCACACAGAAATATTTCGAATATTTAAAGTAATATACTCTTAAGCCCCTTTTTTAATATTCAGCAAATTAAAAGGAAACCCAGTCTGTAGTAGTTTTTGTTTAACTAAAAGTGCTAAATTCTAACTTTATATCCGATGCACAAGCTTAAACATTTCAGTTCGCTCACAGTTTATTCGCCATTAGAGTATTTCGAGTTCCAGCATGAACTTTTAGCCTGCGGTGGGGATTAAGGGACGGATCGAGTTTCATGACAAGGGGGCTGGGGTTGGTAAGTTTAAGTCCAAGCCCGACAAACCCTCAGCAGACCCGAAAACAAACCCGCTTAACCCTAAAATGTTCAGTTTATGGTCAGTGCCGGACGACTGCAAAACGCTTGTAGGTGAATTTATGGACCCAACTCAGCCAGACACAAGCATGCTTACCATCTGGAGGTGTGTGTATGTGTGTGAGTGTGTGTGTGCTTGTGCTCGTGCTGACCATTTAGGCTCTTGGCCAGTGTTGTAAGCAAATAAACCCACACAAAACATGGTCCTAACTGAAAATATTTAGTCGAGCTTTTATGCATAACTAATTGGCTCTGCCTGGTTTTGGTTCTCGCTCATGTTTTCTCCTACTCTTGCTAATGCACTGGAAGAAAAGTTTGGAAAATAAGTCATACATATGGATTTAGGTAAAAATTCTTTAACAATGTTAGAAGAAACTTAACAAGAAGTTTTCCACTAACCAATAATCAATTTTTATGTAAGACATTTACTGCTCTTTTATATTTTGATAATTCAAAAACTAAATTAAAATTACTCAGTTTTCTCCCGAGTGTACTCCTGTTCCTTCGCCCGTTTGTGTGGTCATCGCCTGGCTGGCCCATCTGCTGGTTGCCAGATATGTGCGCCTCTGGTCCACGGGCTCACAATGCTGGTTCTCGGTTAGGTGGTGCGTGCCGGACAAATGGACGGACGCAACAGGAATGTTGGCGCCTTCGGCGATTCTCTTGCTCCGCACCCTCGTATCCCCTCTTATTTATGCCCCCTCCAGCCCGCAGTTAAAGTGCACAATTTGCCACAATGTTGCTTGTTGGCTCTTTTTGTTGTTGTTCCTGTTGCTGGTTGTCATCAACAACGTTATGTTGTTATAGCCATCATCATCAGTAGTCCCACCATCACCATCACCACCATCATCCGCATCATCGTTGTCACGCTCTCACTGCCCTGTGTGCATTGTCAGCTAATTGAATTTTCAGCACGAAATGAAATTTAATTTATCTTTATTGTTTGTTTATCCCACCAAATGACGAAAAACAAAAACAAGCATAAAACCCCAAAAAAAAAAAATCTAATAACAATATACAACACCCTGAATTATGTTAACAGGATTTTAATATTTACTGAGGGTACTTCCTCTGGAGTGTAAATTTGGAGTGATGTTTTTTTAAATTCTTTTAGTAGAGTAGGTCACCTTTTAAGTCCCAAATTGTGTATTTCTAAAAATGTAAAATTAATTATAAAAGAATATTTTTACCTTTCATCAGAGCATTAAACACTTCGACTATGTTGTTCGTTTGTCTCCGAATTGTCTGACAAATCTGTTGGTTTAAGCTTATTGGATCGAATTTTTCCTGCAATACAAACTTAAACAAACAATTTACGTTTATTTTGTTTATTCTTTGCAGGCCCCAAAATGAAGCCCGCTCTGGGGCTGTTGATGATCTGCCTGGGCCTTAGCCTGGCCAAGGGTATGTCGAACAGAATGAAACTTGAAGGAATTATTTTTAATGTTGTTTCTACTTTCTTAACCAGGAGAGACAAATCTGCCGCCAGTATTCACGCAGACCCTGAATAACATTATCCTTTACGAGAATGTGACTGTGGGAACCGTAGTTTTCCGACTGGAAGCCTATGATCCGGAGGGAAGTAATGTGACCTACGGAGCTATCGGTGCTGATCACTTTAGCGTAGACCCGGTATCGGGAAATATTACGCTGATAAAACCATTGGATCGCGAGGAGAAGGATACACTGAAGTTTCTAGTCTCTATAAGGGATCGTGTAGATCCTGAGGGAGAATCGGAGCGGGATAATGTAGTCGAAGTACCAATTACTTTTATCATCCTTGATCTGAACGATAATGCACCAGAGTTTCAGAATGTAAGTTCTTAATTAAAATTCTACTTTTAACCTTATAATCATTAATTCTTCTGAAGACTCCCTATGAAGCCGATGTAAATGAGGATGCTAAAGTGGGAACCACTATCTTTGATAAGATTCTTGTCAAGGATAGGGATATAGCTGGCGACAGTCTCGATATAAAGTGTTTGCCCCAGCAGCAAAGTCCTGAAGCCTGCAGCAAGTAAGTATCTTTCTTAGAATTCATTAAAAAATTATAAAAAAACTAACTAATTATTTGAAATCCCAAAAAGATTCCGTCTCCATGTTCTCAAACGAGAAGCCACCGTTCTGGAGGCAGCTGTTGTGCTCAATGATACCCTTAATTACAACCAACGGATGGTTTACCACTTCCAAATCGAAGCCACTGATGGGCCACACAAGACCCAAACCACTTTCGAGGCGAGGGTGAAGGATGTGCAGGACAAGCCGCCCGTATTTCAGGGCTCCCTCTCAACGGTTATTGATGAGGACAGTCCCATTAACACCTTGGTTCTTACGGTTCATGCCCGTGATGGCGACACTGGGGAACCGAGAAAGATTGTCTATGATCTGAGGACAAGTAAGTCAATTTACAAACTTAGCAATAACGTCAATATTAATGTGTTGTTCCTAACAGATCCCAATGACTATTTCCTGCTGGATGCCCAGTCTGGGGAACTGCGTACAGCCAAACCATTAGATCGAGAAGCTTTAGAGGATTCTACGGGCATTATCTCCTTGGTGATTCGTGCCCGAGAGCTTGTGAACGGAGTTCCCAGCGATGATCCCCTGACATCTGCTACGGCCAAGGCAACGGTGACCATTAGGGATGTAAATGACTCTCCTCCGGTCTTCAATCGCAAGGAGTACTCTGTGTCCCTCTTAGAGAACACTCCCCCTGGCACACCACTCGCCCTGGACATGAGTGTTAGTGATGCTGATGTAGGCATCAATTCAAAGTTTTCTCTCCGCTTGGATGACGTATCCGGAGTATTCGATGTGGAACCCAAGCTGGTAACCGGCTACTCACAGGTCAATATTCGTGTGGCAAACGGTACTCTGGACTACGAGAACCCCAACCAGCGCAAGTTCATTGTACTGGTGGTGGCCGAGGAGACAGACACCAATCCACGGCTCTCATCCACGGCAACGATTACGGTCAGCGTTTTAGATGCCAACGACAATAAGCCGGTTTTCGAACAGGAGAGCTACTCTGCATCCGTTTCGGAGGCAGCACTTCCGGGTCAGTACATCGCCACTATTACAGCCAGGGATGTGGACTCTGGAAGTTATGGTGATTCCGGCATTCGCTACAGCCTTTCGGGAACCGGAGCCGAACTTTTCCATGTCAACGAGCAGACAGGTGTTATTAGCTTGGCCAATTGTCATGGCGAAGGGGAGAGCAGCAGACGCGAAGCGACGTGATCTGCAAGAGGAGGAGATGGAGGAGAACCTGGAAATGCTATCGATGGATATGGCACCCAGAGAGATTGGCACCGAGCCCACCGTCCAGTATACGTTAATCACCCAGGCGCCAGAAGAGCAGGCCTCGTCGGTTCCACTATCAGCTCCAGTTGCACACGCAGCTCCATCTGGAGTTCCCGCAGCGACTGCTAATGACTACAAGGCACCGCAGACGTGTCTGGACTACGAATCGGAGACCACGTACTTCTTGTCATACAAGGTGAGTGACTGTCTCAATCTTCGTGTGCGGGTGGCAAGGTTTTTATGTGCGTAACTTGGTGTGGGAACCATGTGGGATATGCCTCGTGTAGCCATCAGATCCTTTACTAACATGGGGAATATAAATAACGAAAATGGATTAAAATTCCGACCTGCATCTTGATGACTAGCATCTAGATTTTGAGCAACTTAGAACTGATTTAAAACAATGATGTTTTGTTAATATATAAAACGTATATTTTAAAATGATTTTAATAAGTTTTAAGTTAATTCCATAGGTAAATGTTAGATAAACATGATTTTAATTTAGCTCATAATTATTGACTTTATATTTACATAAAACTCTGCATTTTAGAGCCCAGCCAATTATGTATGATAACTTGCTGAATAAATTAATAACGTAAACAATTATTATTCATAATCCCGTCTAGGGATGTGAAATTCATTGACAGCTACAGGATACTAAATAAAATGTATTTGCATACATTAAATTTAGACATTTAACCATAAATAATTTATTTTGATAAGCATAATGTCGAATTAAGAGGCCATTATGTGAATTTTAACAAATCCATAGATAAATCTATTTTATATATTTCATAATTTTTTAGGCCACCGACGACAATGGGCGTGGTTCGGCATCTGTTGTGTCTCTCCGGATTTCAGTAACTGATGCCAACGATTCACCGCCCATCTGTGAAAGTCCTTTGTACAGGGCTAGTGTGGATGAAGGAGCCGTGGTTTTTGATTCCCCGCTGATTGTCAAGGCCAGAGATGCAGACACCATGTCCAGAATTAGCTACAGGATCAGGGGTTCCGAACAGGTTGAGGGAATCTTCGATATTGATCGAGAGACTGGTCAAATTACCATCCGACCTAATGCCACTCTGGATGTGACCAATTTGAATAGCGATCAGCTCATCTTTACTGTGGAGGCCAATGATGGACTTTTCTCAGCGCACTGTGGAGTAAACATAACAGTGCGGGATGTCAATAACCACGTTCCCAATTTTGAGAGTCAGAGCTACAGTGCCGTTGTCGAGGAAAATTCTGAAATTGGAACGAGTGTGGAAAGGGTGCATGCCACTGATTTGGACACCGGCAAGAATGCCGAGCTACGTTACCGTATCCAGCAGGGTAGCTTCGATGACTTTGGAATCGATGAGCGTACCGGTGAAGTGTTTGTCTCCCGGAAACTGGACTTTGATCGACGCAACACCTATCAGCTGCAGGTTCAGGCCTCCGATCTGGGAACTCCTAGTCTTACTGGAACCGCTACACTGACGATAAACGTCCAGAACAGTAATGACAAAGATCCCTACTTTGTACCGGCCACTCAGCATGCAGAAGTCCGAGCGGATGCTCCTCCTGACCAACTGGTATACACTTTAATTGCCCTCGATCCCGATGTGGCCAGCCATAATGCCTTGGAGTTTGCCGGCACTGATGATATAACAGCTATTGATAAAGAGGGCAAGGAGCTAGCGCATGACGATCAGTTCAAGGAGTACTTTAAGATTGCCAGAAATGGAAAGGTTTCAGTTAACAAGCAGTTGGATCGCAATCTGTTTGCCGTGATGCGGATCAATGTTCTGGTTACGGACAGCACAGCACCCAATGTCCAGCAGGTATTTATATTAAAAAATATTTAAAATGATTTAAAAATATAATTTTACTATCTTACTTTTTAGGGTCGAGGTTTGCTAATCATACAGATTATTGATGTCAACAAAAATCCACCAGTGAGTAAAATATTCAGTATATTATTTTATATATTCCTTGAAAAAAGATCAATTTGGAAAGTCTAGAAATCCTATTCTGAGCTAAGTATAGCTAGGAAGCATCCAAGTTTTGGTTGGTCAATTCAACTTCATCTACACTGTCTGGTTCCAAGCTGTGTGTTTCCTCATTAAAAGAAACTAAATTAACCAAGTGATTGTGTTGATCCGAATAAATATTCCTTCGATTAAGAAATTATAAAATATTTCCAAAAAAGATTTAGGATATACCTACAATACAGAGATGCTGCAGGCAATTTTCACTGACATTTTAAAAAGAAAGAAAATGAAAACGGACGTACTTTCAGGATACAGATAGCATAAACTGCCGTAGCCCAAAATAATTTCGTAGAGATTTAGGATGACATTGTCAATGGCCTGCACAATGATAGTGGGCATTAGCATCTCTGCTTGGGTGTTGGTTAGAATGGGATATCTAAGAAAGAGTAAAAAGCGTAAAATAGGGAAAGCTCTTTAAGTCACTCACATAGCCACAATGTTTGAAGCCAATCCTAAAAAGCACAGGAGAAAGCGGACCACAATAAGGCCACTGATGAGGAATGTGAAGATCTCCCTGATCCATATCTCCTCATTGGAACCATCAACGCCTTCCTTAACATTGTTCAAGTCTGCATATAAGCGATACACATTCAAATAAGTGGCATTAAGTAATATGGCAAAGGTATTGATGAATAGCAGTCTTGACTTAGAATACGAGAGCTCATTGAGCATTTTTTGGTTAGTTTAAGGGAATAATTAGAAAATAATCTTAACTAGCATAATTTTGACATTGTTTTCAAAGCCATAGATAAAAACGAATTTATTTTTTCACAGCGCTTTAATGCACCATGGAGTGTAGAACAGCCGCAGATCAAGCTGCAGATGGTAGAGGAGCAACCTGTGGGCACCGTGCTGACCACTCTTCAGGCCACCGACGAGGATTCTAGTATTGGAGAATTTAATATTAGTGCCAACGACTATTTTGCCATAAATCAGACCAGCGGAGTTATCTACACAATTGCCCGACTTGATTACGAAGCAGTTAAGGAAGTCAAATTCCAAGTCACTGTTAGTGACACGGGGGTGCCCGCCTTGACAGCCACCGCTGATGTGGTGGTGGATATTATAAACCTAAATGATAATGACCCTAAGTTCTCTCAATCTGATTATTACTTCAATGTCACGGAGAACTCACCTCGAGGAACGGTGGCGGGAAAAGTCGAGGCACAAGATGGAGATGTGGGCGTCTTTGGAGAGATCACATACACATTAATTGGGGAGAATAACAAATACTTTAGCATTGATGCCTATACTGGCAACGTAATGGTAGCCAACTCTTCGATTCTAGATCGGGAGCAGATCAAGGAGCTCACACTATCGGTTGTGGCCCAGGATAAGGCTCCCGCCGCTGTTCAGAAATCGGCCACGGCAACGGTGAGTAGTAATCTACTCCAACTAATCTACTTACCAACTAATCTTTATAATTATAATTCTATATTTTAAATTACAGATCCACATTAATATCTTGGATGTAAATGATAATGCTCCTGTTTTTACGCGAGATATCTATAACTCCACAGTGGCAGAAAATGCCGCCTATCAGCCACCTGCCGCCCTTCTCCAAGTGCAAGCCATTGACCAGGATGAGGGTCTGTATGGCGATGTACGCTATATCATCACGGCTGGCAACGAGATGGCTCTTTTCAAGCTTGACGCCCAGTCGGGCATTGTATATCCAGCGCAGAGTTTATCTGGGAAACATGGAGCCTACGAGTTGACTATTTCGGCACGTGATACCCAGGGATCGGGCACCATGGAGAGCACAGCCAAAGCGATTATCACAGTGCTTAGGGTTAACCGCCACAAGCCGGAGTTTGTTATACCCGCACTATCCAATGCCACCATTGAGATACCTGGTGATATAGTACAGCCGGATTATCTACTGCTCACCGTTAAAGCAATGGATAATGATACGGAAGAGAACGGCAAGATCAGTTACCACCTTCAAGTGAATAACCGAAATGAGCAGCAGACCGGGGAGTTTAAGATCGATGAGGTGACAGGTGAATTGCGAGCCAGGACGCAGCTGAACCGCAAAAACCGAGCTAAGTAAGTTAATTACCTTTTTGCAAGGAAGTTTTTCATAATTTGTAATCCCATTATTAGCTACGATATCATCCTGGTGGCCCGAGACGCAGGTAACCCTCCGTTTGAATCGCTACGCCTTCTTAGCGTCAGCATTGTGGATGCCAACGAAAACCGTCCAGAGTTCCCCGATGCCTCCAATCCTTATAAGGTGTCAATCAACGAGAACAGCGGTCGTGATGTGAAAATTGGACACATTCAAGCGGCTTCAAGGAGCAAGCATAACAGGGATATATTCTACTATATGCTTTTGGGCAATGAAGATGGTGCCTTCTATGTTGACAAGCTGAAGGGTGACATTTACACAAACAAGAGTCTTGATCGCGAAGAAACGGATGTTTACACTTTGTACATCCTTGCCAGCATCAAAGCGGATCTGCATATCTCAGAAGAGGAACGCGCCGCATTCTCCATCAAGACACTAAATCGGGATAACACAGTCGCCAAGGTAGCGATCACAGTGTTGGATGTGAATGATAATCCTCCAGTGTTTGAGAAGCCCATCTACTATGCCGGTGTAAATGCGAATGCCAAGATGGGCGCAGCTATAACTCTGGTAAATGCTACAGATGCGGATCAGGGCAAGAATGCCAAGATTGAGTTTATGATCGTCGCCTCAAATTTGTATAAATTTGGAGCCACCAAAGCTACTGGCTCGATTGTTCCCAGCCCGTTTGCCATTTCACAAGATGGACGCATCTCAGCAAACACGATCATGGCCGAGTACAACCAAGACCGTTTCGAACTTGAGATTGTGGCTAGGGAAGTAGAGCAACCTCAGCGATCAGCTAGCACTAAAGTTAATGTAAGTGATAGATAAATAGTTTTTTTAACAAGTTTACATTATTTATTTATTGATGTCATCTAGATCTGGGTCTTTGATGGCACTCAATTGGTGCGAGTAATTTTATCCCGTCCGCCAGAAGAAGTTTATCAGGAGCAAGAGGAGATCATTGCAGAGTTACGCAATGCCACCCAGCATCGCATTATCGTGGATGAGATTCGATTCCATTTGGACTCGATTGGTCGCATCCGTATGGACTGGTGTGATCTGTACTTCCATGCTGTGGACCCTCAGACCCAGCAGATTGCTCCAGTCGATGAGATTCTCAAGGATATCGATAGGAACTACGATTATCTGAAGGTGGGTTCTTTAAATCTCAATCATTTTTTATTCTGATTAATTATGTTTTTGTTTAGGATTACTATGCTGGCTTTGCTATTGAGAATGTGGTTCCCGCCTACATAGCCATTGTGCAGGATGAGTTTGATTTAGCTGTGGCTGGACTAGTAGCCCTGGTCATCGTCCTTTTTGTAGGCGTTATTAGTTTTATTGTCCTGTGCTGTTGTCTGAAGCACTGGAATCTGTCTGTTCCTGTAGAGACGCGTCGTAAGGAGGCCCTGATTAAAAAACAGATAATCGAGGACCTCAACACTACCGAAAATCCGCTATGGATAGAACAGTAAGTGTCACTAGGACTAGAGAGTGGATTTTTATTTTTGATTTTTATTTATATTTTTTCCCTCAGAAAACTGAAACTTTATGAGGAACAGGAGCTGACCATGCAGGTCTTCTCAGAGCCCGATCACATCTCGAACTCTGAGACGCAAGGTCACTTGGACCATCGCAGCTCGCTTGAGCAGGTCCATCATGTGGGTCAATCGGTGGATAATACATATGCCACCATTCAGCCGCGTAATAATCAAAATCGCATTACTGGTAGCGGAGGTGCCGGTGGTGGATCGATGCGCAGCGGGGGAGGCGCTAGCGCTGGAGGTATAGGTGGTGCTGGCTTGTTACTAGCCCGCGTTGATCCGCACATGAATGAGTTCGCGGATTATGCCACGTTGCGAAACAATCGGGCGCCATCGGTAAGAAAATAAGAGCACAAAAATAAAGAATAAAACTAACAATGCCTTTTTCTCGATATTAGCTGTACGAGTTCACAGGATCCACTTTCCAGGCACCCATCCGGGATGGAGATGATGCTGTGGCCGAGCTGATCTAAGCCTCGCTGGGAGCTGCTGCCCAAAAAGATGTGTAAATTATGTAGTAGCCTGTGTATCTGTGTAATAGACAAGCCCTTGCCGTGGTTTAGTTCAACCGAATCTGTTCTGTTGCATCTTTGAGTTCGCCGTTGTGTTAACACCAACAATATACTAGACACGTACATAGCACATATAATTACTTATATACATAGCGTAGTTGTATCTGGTAAGCCAGCGTTTATCTAGAACTCAAGTAACCAGGTTAGAGAGCCAGGAGCTAAAAACAGAACTACAAGAACCCATAGAGGAAATTCTCCCGCATAAATAATGACAATAATATATATGTACTATTATATATTGACAATGTCTAGCCGTAATGAAACGATATGAATATGTAAGAGTTACTAATGTACATCTACATCTGCATCTACAGAATTCAGTCCAATCGAATACTTCCGCGATATTAGTTTTAATGGCGACCAAATGCGTCTACAGCCTAAGTTGTATCACTGAAAAAGACTAAATTATTTGCTCTTCCAATTCCGTACTATGTTTAGTTTTGTCGCTAACATTTAGTTACTTAGATCTTAGTTTAATTAGCCAAACTTGCTCATACTCATAAGTTCATATGTTAAGTTGGAGAGAATTGGAAACGTGCAACGAACTAAGTTACTTTTGACCCCTGTTCGAATCCTCACGGACAGAGCCAGAAACTCATTTATGTTTGCATTTACATTAAACATATTATACAAATAAGTAATTTGGTTTTTAATATTCTGGACGACCTAGAGGAAGTCTTTTGATACGTCTGTGGATTTTTCTCACCTGTCGATATTTGCAACTAAGGGAGGCTATCCCCAAACAACTATATGAGGCGTTGCTGAGTGCCGGAAGGTTGCTAGCCGGTGCAGGGAGAATAACAAACTCAAACCCCCCAGGATTTTTCACAGCGCAGGCATTTCTGATTTTCCAATCAACAAAATCGCTGAACAAACCTAACGAATTCCCAAAGCACACACAAGTTTAAATTAAATATACATATTTTTTGAGTTTTAAATTGAAAGAGGCAAGGACCGTCGAAATGGAGGAGTTAGATATAACCAGTGTGGGTCAGTTCCAGACCCTGGTGCGGTACAACAACCCGGTGCTAGTGGTTAAGCACCCGGACAAGAAGGGTGGCGCTCCGTTGACGGAGATTGAGATGAAAAGGCCCCAAACTGCGGGCGCTTTGTTAGATTCGAAAAAGGAAACCGAGGAGATACTAAATTCTATTCTTCCACCTCGCTGCTGGGAAGAGGATGGACAGTTGTGGCAGCAGTCCGTGTCCAGTACTCCAGCAACACGTCAAGATGTAATAAATCTGCAGGAAATGCTGGATACTAGGCTGCAGCAGACCCAGGCTCGCGAAACGGGCATCTGCCCTGTGCGCCGCGAGCTCTACTCACAGTGTTTTGGTAAGACCAGTCTTTTCTTATTTTCCAAATCTTCCTAACACGCTCTTCCCTCAGACGAGATCATTCGTCAGGTGACCATCAACTGTTCGGAGCGCGGCCTACTGCTTCTGCGTATCCGCGATGAGATTGCCATGTCAATGGAGGCCTATGAAACATTATACTGCAGTTCCGTGGCTTTCGGAATGCGCAAAGCCTTGCAGGCACACGAGGAAAAGGAAATGCTGCGTGACCGGGTGAAGACTTTGGAACTCGACAAAGAGGCACTTGAGGAGATCATCGCAGACATGAAGCTAAAGCAGGAGCAGGCCGAACGGCGCAATGCCGAATTGAGAGCGTCCGAGGAAAAGAAGTTCACCGAGGAGATCACTTTCTTAAAGAAGACCAACGCCCAGCTGAAGGCACAGCTGGAGGGTATAACCGCACCCAAGAAGTAGAAAAATATGTATGGTGTGTGGTCTATGCGTTTTGCATTTGTCACTTTAACTTTGTTGGAACTTATTAAGATTAAATTATTTGAGCAATTAATCTGCAGCTAAGACTCTTCAGTCGGAGCAGATTCTGAAGTTTCAGTAGTTTCCTTTTCAACTTGCTCCCTTTGATCCATCTCTGATTCGTCTACGTTTATCTCATTGAGAATTGGGGTAGGCTTAAAGGCTTCTGTTGTTTTTTTCTTAGGCAGTGGCTCTTCCTTAGCTGCTCGTTTTTCCGGTGGCTCCTCGGAAGTTTCTTCTGGAACATTATCATCGTCTTCTTGAAGGAACCGGTTGCGCATGGCTTGCAACTCCTCTTCGGTGGGCAGAGTGTCCTTGAGTTCCTCCATTTTGGCCATATACCGCTCGTATACAAATTGAGCCATTACTGACATGTTTTCTATTGTTTTTATAGTATCACTGGCCACATCAGCGCTGGCCAAACGATCCGTAGGATACGTATCCTCGGGTACCAGACTCAACTTCAGAGATCGCTGTGTAAGCTGCATGAAAATGGGATTAAAAACGTTTGAATCCTAAAATATGTCAAATTTTACTTACTAGATTAAATGTCTGCTGAAGCTCTAAACAGTTCTTAAACAGGGAGACCCTGCCAAAAACATATAGACCAAGACGTGCTCGACTCATTGCCACAACCAGACGTCTCACATCCCGTATATGTCCCACCGCCTTGGTTCGCACTAGAGAGATGAGAATGTAGTCGTTCTGCTGGCCCTGGTACTTATCCACAGTAGTGATCTTGTGCGGCCAACCGATGAGCGGATTGTTGCCACAGCGGGCGTTGATAACGTCGCGGATAAGATGCTTCTGACCGTTGTAGGTAGTCAATATAGAAATCTTCTCCGCGGGGTAGCCGAGCAGACGCATGTACATATAGACGGCAACAACATACTCCGCTTCAGCAAGATTCTGTGGGTACAACAAATTGTTTAGATCGGGAACTATCTTGAGTTCCAAAAATTAAGAAAACGCATCTCACCTGATAGAAGTAGGGATTGGGTTCACTTTCGCCCACTCCCTTGTAATCCTCAACATTGATGAGCTGGTAGTCGTAGGCAAAGCCAGGATTAGCCTTTTTGTACTCATCCCGCTCAAAGATGTGCTGCAGATCCTCCAACTTCTTGTAGCGCCACTTGTACAGTGAGCAGATACTGGCTCGAGCACGACCTTGTCCATCAAGATCTACAGTAGGCACTCCCAGGCGAACCAACCTGGTGAACAGACTTTGTTCCATGTTGGAGTACTTTTGGAAGGCCATATTCTTGATTACGGGAGGCAACTGATGGTGATCTCCGATCATGATCCAACGTTTTAACCGATTCAATCCATCCAGCGGATTTTGAAGTAATAGAGGAATAAAGGTCTCGATCTCCAGAATCTGTGCTGACTCTTCCATAAGGATATTGTCATATCGGAAACCAAGATTTACCAGCTCTTTACGTTTTAGTGCCGCATGTGTACAAGTCATAGCAATAATCTTTGCCTCTTTAACAAGCAAATATTTGGATCGATCTAGACCTGTGCGCAGCAGTTCAAAAGCACGGAATTCCTCCAGTTCGGTGAAAATGTCCGAGATGTATCGGAAATTAGAGCAGGCTGTATCCATAAGTTCCTCATAGCTGGCACCCTTAAACAATGGCTGCGGAGCATCGGCAAAGAATTTGCTAAAAGGAAATTTCTTCTCAAATACAACTCTCAGTTTCTCTATATCCGTCTCCTCCCTATGCACGCCCATCTGATTTTCGAACTTCTCCCATCTCGCCATCACATTGTACAGGTAAAAGTAACCGGCGGTCTCACAGGTGTAAGCATTGTCACCACCCACACCAAGGGCCTCCTGCAGCTTCTGCACTTGGTTAAGAAGATCCATGCGCTTAGCCAATACATAATTGACACGTCCATAGCGACTGTAGTCTTTCTCGGTCTCCAGAGCCTCCTCGCCATGACCCAGACGCAGCAAATGCCGCTCATCGATATCCAATGCCATGATCTTTTCGAACAACTGGTTAAGCGCCTGATTGGAGTGGGTTACAATCAAGGTGCGCTGGTTGGGGTGATTGTGATAAATATTCGATATGATTTGCACGGCTACATCAGTTTTACCGGTACCAGGGGGACCAACCACCAGTGTCAATCCCGGCTGCATACCAGCACGAATGGCTTCGACTTGAGTGGGTGTAAAGCGGATTGAGTTCCTAAAAAGAATGGGTGATAAGGGTTAAAAAATTTAACAAATTGAATTCCTTTACTCACTGCTTAGGCTTATCGCTGGGATATGGGCCTCTGGCCTCATATTTGTATGGCTGCACCGAAATGGATTTGGTTAATTCAGGCTCAACTTTTTCTTCAACCTCCTCCTCATCGCTTTCCTTATGGATAGCCACATCCTCAAATATTAGGCGATAAGGAGGTATCCTTTCTTCTTCTGGCACCTCACATTTCAAATCATAGTTTGGAAAACTTTCCACCAGATGCTTGTAGTCCAAGAAGGTATCGTTGAACTCTAGACTACGCTCCTGGTTAGTCATGTTACTATAATGGGCGGCTCCCGGATCACCATAACCTAAAAGAATGTCGTGGAGCCAAGGTGGAACCACGCATTCTGTATTCATAAGGTGACGAATGGTTTCCAAAACGGCCTTGAAGTTATTTTCTTTAGGCTTTCGGCGCATCAGGATGTTGAAACTTTCGTAGACATCGTCGGCACCCTACAATAAAAAGGCAATAAATAGAGATTTCTATTGCATACGTTGGGAACTAACCTCCTGAAGATCATCCATATCCAGACGGTACTGGTTAGAGTCCAGCCAGACGCGATAGCAACGCTGCTCACCTGGCAGCTGTGGCCTTGGTTCAGGTCCATCTTCTATGACTCGCCCATTGGCATCCAGCATGCCCTCCACCTCGCAACCTCGGACACTGACCAAACCCACCTGGGGTATGAATGGTTCCCGGTGCTTGTATTTAGTGCCATATGGTTGAGTTGGCTTTACAGTTATCAAAAAGCAAACATCATGTTTGCGAAGGTTCTCCCATTCCGCCTTGATCTCTCGCCTCACGGAAAGTGTGACTCCAACATCTGCACGCACCCTCGATGGTTTTTTTTCGCCAAGGTGGGGTTTGGCCACTTCGACTACTGCAAAGCTAGCAATGGGTAAGGCCATTCTTGCCCAGCCTCCAAAGACAACGTCGCCATCTTCTGACTGCCAGGGCAACATGCGACTCACGGCATCCTCAATGTCCTGCCGGATCTCATAAGTGGATTCCAAGCGGAAAAGATTAAAGTTTCGCAGCAGATAATCGTGGAGTGTGAGGAACTGTAGGTTAAGCTTGGGCAGTGCCAGACAGCTCTCACCGGTATAATATTCCGAGGGTACCAAGTTCTCGTCCCAAATGATGTGCTCAGTGGGATATAGGGGCATTTCGTTAAGGGCTTCTAGCTGTGAGCATCGTCGCTCGTGGCGAGTAATCAGAAGTTCACGAAGAAACTGCTCGTCCACACGGTGCCAGTCTAAGGGTGCCACCACTTCCTCGGGTACCAGATTCAAAAAAGTCGCTATCTGGAGGAGGCCCTTGCCATCCAGTCCACCAAAGTGTTGCTCCAGTGACTCTCGGTTATCCACTGTGGCCACATTAGACAAGGCAAAGACCCGTAAGCTGGGAAACTTGGCGAACACCGCTCGCTGCAGGGAGGTGATCTTCTTATAGTGCAGCTGGGTCATGTCATGATCTGTGAGGGAACTACCGGTGACATCGTTGATCTCAAAGCGGGTGTAAAACTTAAGCATGTCCAAAAGCTGTGTTGTGTGCGATTTAAACGTTTTATAGAATGAATAAGTTACTTATGCTACAGTCATTTATAGGAATTTAATATTATTTGCATTACTTCATTATAATAAAAATATTTATTAAATAATCCTTTTGAAAATTTTAATCCAAAGTAAATTATTTGCTGGCCCTCATGCCAGTTGATCCGCTCCTGTTTGATACCCAAAATGCGTGTTTTGAATGGAACGTGTTTTTGTTGTATTACCTGCCGTCGTGAATTCTACAAACTCACGCAAGAAATAAGATTCTCTTTGCACCGTACTCTCTTTCTCTCTTTTATGTAAGCTGCACTACAGGTATTCAAAAACAGACATACTATGTCAGCCAAGCCGGTTGGTCTGCCCCAAAAGGTTGATACGTCATCAGTTTGAGCAAGACCACTCACACAGTCTTACAAGTCAAAATTAACTATGTGTGCGTGAGCGGGAGTGCTAATTAGACGAGCCAGGTGAGCGGAAAGCGGAAGTCCTTTCAGGAGAAATGGGCGACTATCCCTGAGTCTCGAAACAATCGTGTGTGTTCAATACGAATATATGGTGAAGGTTAGCTGAAGGACTAGTTTTTTGTTAAAATAAATCATTACAAAAGACTCCTGCTTCTTTTTCTCCCTTTCTATCTGTGTGTTTTTGGAGGTGCGAGAGGACAAGTGTGATGACAAGGCACGCGTCATTAGGGGATTGCATACAGCTGCATCTTATCATACCGCATAATCTAGTCACATCCTGATGGTGGAAAGAGAAGGGAGAACACTACAGAGCGCTATAGAAGCAAACAAAGCCTCTGGATACTCAAACATGCAGACACTGCCGGTTCCTGCTTTACTTGTACCGTCTACTTGCTCCAATTGATAATTTCCGTCGCTCAATTTAAACAAGAGAGCAGGAAGAGGGCTCGAGAGAATGAGAGGGAGTGCATTTAAAGCCCTGCTTCAACTTTCTATACCCTCGATGAATAATGGGGTATATAAGGCCAGTTCAGTTTAGACTGAAAATTTTGGATCAATTTTTAAATTATCATATTCTTAAAAATAAATAGCCTATTTTTTACTTATCTTTATTATAATAAAGTTATTGTACGAATTTCTGCAAAGACATTTGAACCTTCTGCCCTCTAGGCAGGAAAGTGATTAGCAGGTATCATATAGTCGGGCCTTAAATATAGCGTTCCGTCTGGTTTTCAGTGCGAGAGGTAGCGCTTTGGTGGGGGTTGAGCGCTACTCTCGCAACTCTCCACTCTCTCGCAACCTTAGTGACTAGAAGTTAAGAGCAGGCGGCAGAGAGTCATTCGCTTTTTGTCGTCGCTTCGAATCGGTTGATGTTTCTTCTTCAATTTCCATTTTGAATTGAATTGTGTTTAAAGAGGAAGTAAAGCGCACATTGTTTATTAACCGAATGCGAGCCTGAATCCCAGACTGAAGTGTCATTTTGGGTGTGTTTTAATTCAGAAAAGTGTCACCTTACTAGAATTCTGGCATGCAAGTCATGATCTTGGCTCACAGCCGGCACCTTGATGACGCATTTTTTAGCAAGCGCAGATCCATATAAGCAATAACAACGACAACGGCTGCTTACCTTTGTATTTGTATCTGTATCTGTGTCTGTGTTACTGGGCAAAAGATGCTCGTAAAAACGCTTGGCGCGCATTTTGCAACCAAGCAATTTGGAAAAAAATGCAGCTGCTCCGCTCTGCTGATTCGCCTACTTCCCCTTTTATTCCTTATTTTAAACCCATTACCGGTAGCCAGTCATGTCACTAGTGGGGGATCACCGTCGGGAATATCATCTGATCCTCACTTAGTGCTGGTCAACAAATGCTGCGAAAAGTTCGAGATACACGTGGACAATGAGTGCCAGCAGGTCAACGAATCGGGTAAGTCTAACAGCTGGTCAGGCGGAAAACTCCTAGCCCCTCGGTAAAGTTACCATAACAACCACATTGAAGTTGGTTGGCCATTCAACTTTATGGATTTTCCCTCCTGGCATGCAACATATGTATGCCCAACATTAAATGGCCCATTTGTTGGCTATCAGTGGATCAGTGGAACGCAGCCAGCAGCTACAAACATCAACCCCCACTCATTCATTTACTCCCCCAAAACAAGTTCTCAACACAAACAGAGAGTGGCCCCAATCCTGATGAGAAGTATGATTTATGCTGTGAGGCATGCTTCTGTTTAAACTTTTAAGTAACCACTTGATGGGGGATTCCCAATCAGGAGTTTCATCTTTTAGAAAATAAAATGAACAGAAAAATCCATTAGCAAGGTACTATAGCTGCTTTTGTTCCTCTCAAATTGATTTACGAGTATTTATCTTCTTTTTATAAAACATTTTGTTGGAACTAATTTTATATAGCGTAGAGTAAAAATATAGAAGCTAGCTGAATGTTTGGCAAACAATTGTGGGAAATAAAGCAAATCGTCTCATAGCAACTAAATAAAAATTCTAGGACGGCTAGGTAGAACTCATTAGAAATTTACAACCTTGGATCGGTCATATAGGTGACACATAAAAATGAGACTATAGTCTAATATTTGAATCATTGTACTGATCTCATCGGATTTTAATTGTAGGGATTTGAGTAATCCCAAGATAAAAGCACGGCACATAATCAGCATATGCAATCTAATTTCCGTGTGCTCAGCGATGATTAACATATCAATGGCATAAATGGAACAAAAGTGCATCCAAACTGTGAAAATTGGAGGAGAACAAATCTGCACAAATTGCAAAAAATTGCAGAAAAACAGCTGATGAAACTGCATTGCAGTGCTCAAGTTCTTTGCTTTGAAGCGTAAATATTTATAGAGGAGGAGAGAAAGGAAATTCTGACTGCTCCCCTGATCCACAAGACCAACAAAGGCGGCGAGAACTTGAAATGCTTTAATGATTCTTAACGGTCTGTGTTCTCTATATATCTTTCCAATCCATTTGCAGACTACTTTCAGCCGATGTTCACCAGCTATGGAGGGGAGAAAGACATATCCACTAAGTTCAAATTCGTCATCGGAATTCCCAACTGTGGATCCATGCAGATGTGGCCCATATACCACTATACTGGGGTAAGTCTTAGGACTGTTATTTAGTTATCATAGATACTTATAACGTCTAAATTTTAATTTCTAGAGCTCTGATAAGCTAGTCCTACTGGAAGATGGCAAGCTAAGGCATTATACTAATGCAGAAAATGAGGAAGCTGAAAGTCATGGAATACAATCCGATTATGAGGAGGATATTGCTGGCAGTCTCGAGCCATTATATCACGATTACGATAAAGGATTGTACTGCATTGATCGGGTATGAATTACCACAAATCAACTTAATTGTATATATTAATAATATCATCATTGTACCAATTTGCAGGCGACCTCAAGTACTGGACAAGAGCATGTTCTCTTCGCCAAGATCTGCCTGGCCCGCAAGGAGATAAAGTGGAGTGACTCTAACTTCTTGCTCCGAAAGATCTTAAATCCAATATTTCACGGCATCTCACTTATTATCCTGCTGATCATCGCCATTATCTATTTTATACTTCCTACACTCAGGTGAGTAATGGTCAGAATTCGATCCCCTTCATGCGTTAATCTTGCATCCATTTAGCAGAGATCTGGTGGGCAACATTGTGACAACGATAGCCATTTGCCTGATGGTTAGCCAGGCAGCGGATCTGGTCCGAATCTTTACCGAGCTGACCAGCCATGTTAGCTTTATTGTAGCGGACATAATCATGTGCTTCAGCCTCCTGGCAGCCTTCTTTTGGCTGAATAGTTTTGGTTTTTACATTTGGAAAACCTTTCGTTCAAGAAACGTTTTCTTGCGAGTCACCGATGGCAGAAAATACTGCTATTATTCCGCGTATGCCTGGGGATGCACGGCCACGATGGCTGCACTGGCCGTCTTTGCACATTTCTTCCTGGATGCAGACTCTTACAAGCAAGAGCAGATGGTGGGTGAACAGGAGACAATCGGCTGGCTAGGCATTTGTATATTTTTTGCCCCAATTGCCTGCACTATTTTGGTGAACATATTTTTCTATGTGACCACCAGGAAGCTAATCAACCGCCGGACGGTTTATGGCCGCATTGCGCACAAACTGAAAGCTAAGTGAGTTGATCTACAACAGACATTGGTCATATAAAAATATTTTTAAATATCTTCCATCTTTATAGTTTCATCATGTTTTCGTTGATGCTGTTAGTAATGTCGATAGCATGGCTGTTTCTTATAATGTCCTGGCTTCAACTGGAAGGCTTGCTATATGCTCACATTGTGGTTAATGCGTTACAATCACCGCTACTGCTCTACATATGTGTGCTACGCCAGCGACATGTGACCTTTCTGTTAAAGAAGACCTGCTGCTACAATGAACCACCGTCGGCGAACGACTGGGGTGATGAGCTGCACTACATGAATGGCAATGATTACTGAGGGAGCCACCGTCCACAATAATTTAAGTGTTTTTGTAGTTTAGCAATGTCCAACATTGAGATTTGTACTTAAAATTAACTAATTTATGCTGTACGAGATAGTAATTAAAAAAAGTCTGACACATACCTGCCCAAACAATTTGCCTTCCTCACGACGAACCAAAGGCGACAGAAGAGCCCGCACGATAAGGTGACAGTCGTCCAGAACTGTATTGAAGAAGCGACGTGTTGGGAGAAGGGCCTCCAGGTCAATTATAAACTCCAGGAATCGCTCGCAGTAATGAACAACGTTAGAAGGCACCTGTCCCTCGGCGGGAATGTTTTCGAGGATGTGGAGGAAGTCGATAATGAGGTTCTGCATGAAATGTCTTTCCCAGACGAGTTCCGGCTTGCTGTCCTTTTCCTTTTTAAGCAGCCGTTTCCAGTACTTTCGCCACTCGGGAACTTCTCGCAGTTCTTGCTCGCGGCGACCTGTAAGGAAAAGAGTTTTGGTTAACTTAAATATGGTCAAAAACATCCTAAAATTACATACCCGGCTGTAGGCAGTGCCACATGGACAGAGAAACCAATCGCTTGGCTTGTTCGCGGCACAAATCGATCTCCATGCTGTTGAAGCAGTGATTTATAAACATCAACAAGGCCGTTCGCTCCCTCAACGAGCTGTTCGCTTCCTTGGCCTTCTTGGCGGGCAAACAGCTTTCCAGCACGTGGCGGAAAAATGCAGGATATTGATCCGGGAGTTTCTCGAATACATTCCAGACTTCGACACGCTCCCGAAACTTTTCGTTGGCCATTATCACAATAGACATAAGGTGGGCATGGGTTGCGGTATCCCGCTGATAATTTGGCCACAGATACTGCTCCAAGTACTGACTAAATTCAAGCATGTTAATTCGGCGCGCACTGTGAACACCGCCTCCGGCGATTTCCTCATTGTAGATGCGCTCAATGATATTAGCACTGTAAGGCAAATGATTCGCCTTCGTGTCCGGCGTCCAATACTGTGATGCCAGCTGTGGATAATTTATATTACGATTATAATTAACATTCAGATTTATTTAGTGGAGTACCAACCTGCCAAATGACATCAGAGCTGAGCTGGGCCATAGTGAGCGCTCCAGTCTTTTCTTTCCCATTTTTGGTGACCGCAACAACCTTTTTGGCCTGTGTTTGACTTCTTCTTTTCATGGTTTGATTATTAAATTACACAAAAATTGAAATAAACACAAATCTGCAGCAAAACAATAACCACCGGCCGCCAGTGTGACCGTTATGAAACCGGCAAAATATACCAAACTATTTATGTATGTTGTGAGCTGTTTCCACCACAATGAAAAAGGTATAGATTTATTGATATATCCAAATAAAATTTTCTAATCAGAATAATTCCATGTTAAATATTTCAGCATATATAATTATTATTTCACTTGAACAAATTAGTAATTTTCACAATTTGAAAAAATAATATTTTAAAATATTGGAATTGGTGCCCCTAATGATTCATTCGCTGATGTGGCAGCACCACAAATCACCTAGATATTTCTAAGGTCCGGCAACACGACAAAAGGGTTTTGTTTACAGCACGCCGGTTTGAAGATTTTAAGAGTTAAAGTGATATTTATTTATAATTTAGGAAATTGTTGCACATAAAAAGTCGCCATGTCGCAGACTATGCCTCCAGAAAACCTAAGCGTGAGTTGTGTGATTCAACTTAATAAAATTTTAGTCTGAATTATTTTTCATTCCAGAGCCGCCTGTTGACGGTGCTGAGTTTGCCATTGTATGATCGCGTGCACGAGCTGAGTATCCTTTTTGATCGTTGCTCCGTGCGCCAAATTCAGGAAATATTCCCCCACGTCGTGCACTCCATTTTCGGAATCAATGGGAATCCTTTGGGTTGGGGCCTGCGGACGACGACGATGGAGAATAATCAACTGCATTTCCAGATTTTGCAGCAGTTTTTCGGCGTGTCTGGTCCTTGGATGCATCTCTGCCACCGCCTGCTCCTCGATCAATGCAAGTTCGAGTTGGACATCAACCTTCTGCCGGTAAGTGGCGGTCATAGATTTACTTTCTCTTATCCCTTCTAAGAGTTTCCATTTTAGGCAAAGTTCGTTAGCCTACTGCAGTCTGGCCAGAATCCCAGGTTCTATGCGGAACTCATCAATATCGACACGATGATGCGCCAAGTGACCACGTTATCGTTAAACGCCTTCGATTTCTACATAATTCACTTTGTGCTGTATGCTCTACAGCCTCTTCACTCCATTAACCCGATCGCCATGCAGATCCATAATGTAAGGAGTAAGACAGTGTACCTGAAGCTGGTATCCGAGTATCTCAACAACTTCCTGCCCCTGATGCCTGATGCCCGCATAGAACCAGTACACTTCAGTGGTGGTGTCAAGGCGCCTCAGCCATTGCCCGCGCAGGCATTGCAACCTCAAAGGCAACCGCGTTACCTCAAGATTCCCAGCTCATATCGTAATGGCGGAAATGTGTCCGGCGGAGGAGGCAGTCCAAACACTAGCGGTGGCAGCGGGAACACTTCACCCCAGTCAAATAGTGCAAATGCAAGCGCAAACAGGGCCTACGCCTGGCGATCTGAGAGTGTACTCCATTTTTTCGTTGACATCTGGCTGCGATATGACATCGAGTCAGAGCACCATTTGCCTAGCAGCGATTTTGTGCGCGGCGTACGTACCTTAGTAAAGCAGGTTCATTTCTTTGCTAACGGAGCTCAGCAGGATCACAGTTCGCTTTGTGCATTGCGGAAGGTCTCGTTGAGCATGGTAAAGGCAAGGATATACGCTTTCCTATGCGGCTTAATCGATCGTTGGCCTCTGGACAGCTCATTGATGGTGGTGCTGGAGCTCTGGCTTAGCTACATCCAGCCATGGAGGTACACTATAGCGGCCCTGAACAACAAGACGTAAGCAAAAAACAAAAACATATTATATCAGAATGCTAACTAACTTCTTTACCTTTAGGCCTAGTCTTGCCTACAAGCCGCCCATTCTGCCCTGCTACGACGGTTTTATTATAGATAATTTGATTATGTATACACACATATTTATGCAATTGGTACCGCACTTTGGGCGCTTGGATTACACGGTCTATCGAAACGCTTTTATGCTGTACCGCCTGGCCACAATGTTCGCCCAACATGACTTAGTAGAGCGATTGCAACGTTTTGAGCGACTCCATGCGGGCAATTCATATGGCTTTGACTCCCCACAGCGACAAGTGAACATGATGAAGTGGGTTGAAAATTAATTATTCACAAAACTATTCAAATTTTAAAACTAAACCATTTTAATGTTTCAGTAAATCGTATTCCCCAAGCTCACAGTGGAATCCTGTGGTTAACACAAGCTCGGCGAAACTTTTTAGCCATGCCATGCAGACACAGATGGAGAGCTTCCTTTTCCTGATTAGCATGGCCCGCAACTCGGTGCTAAGAGATATAGCTAAGTTACGAAACGAAATCGCAGAGAAACAACGCTCTGAGGGATTCCTTAAAAACTTCTTTAACAAGCTCTTCGGCGAGTGCACCCAGGATGAGATAACCCTGCGCGAGTTCAGTCGTATACCGGAGGTTTTACGTCAATGCATCGACGCCTTCTGTAGAACATTTAATGTAAGCTAGCTAGACAAAACTCATAGATTAATTTGTTAAAAGATTTTTTAATTCATTACCAGATCGATCCAGCAAACCTTTCTATGAATGATAGTGTATCAGAGGAACCTAGTTTGCCTGCCACGACCTCAGTACAAAATTTCAGCTTTTTTGACTCTAGCAACTCCCTGGACACTTCAAAGTTGAATCCACACCAAATGTCTCTCAATGCCTCGAATATACATGCGACTGTTGATCCAGCACAACTGCCCATCCAGAGCAATGAGATCAAGCCGTTGGTAAGAATGCTGCACGTCGTCTCTGAAGAGATCAATAAGAGGGTAAGGTTTAAATAAGAAAGTAAAAGAATAACTTAATGGTTTAAATAACGTTTCCAGTATGGCAGCCAAATACAAGTTCTATATGCTCGCGAAGACTACTGTGGAAAGGTAGCGCGGCAACTTCTGTACGCTCCTATGACGGAGCAGTGGTTCGACAAAAGCTCCGGCCAAGTAGATATATGTGAAAACGCAGTTCCTCCTCGAGTTTGTCTACGATTTTTGGGCTCTATACCTGTTCTTGTTACGATCACTGTAGTGCTAATCCTTGGGAAACTTATTTGGGGTTCCTCAATCCTAGGACTGATCATTTTGGGCACTGTGATGTTTCTGTACACCTTGCTGCAGGCACTGCTTTCCTAGTTTAAATGTTTTAACTAGATAGATTACTAAAAATCTGACATTTATATATTTGTATAAAAGTAAAGAAACTACTATTACAATTACGATTACTGTTAGTATTATGATTATGTTAATGCATGTATGACTGTATCACTCGGTTCGCGGCCGAAGAGCTAATCGCAAAGTCTGATCGGGCACTGTGACCATGCGGAGTACGCTATCGACCGGCTTCTCGTTGAGGCATTTCATCTCAAACTGGGAGGCGCATCGGCCTAGCAGGGAGTGAAGCTGCTTAAGAGCCACGCGGCGACCGATGCAGGACCGCTGTCCGATGGCGAAGGGCAAACTGCCGTGTGACTGATGCACCTGCTCTGACTGGCCAATGCACCAACGCTCCGGCACCACTCGTTCCGGCTGCGTAAAGTGTGATGGATCACGTCCTGCAGTGTACAGGGATAGCAGGACCATGGTCTAAAGAAAGAAAGGTAAGATATAGAATTCGGCCTATAAAATATTTCTGTCTCTCACATCTTTTTCGATAAAATGTCCGCCCAATTTCGCATCCTGGGGTAGATAGCGACCTATAAAAGGCGCTACAGGATAAAGTCGCAGGGACTCTTTTATCAGGCCATGCAGGAGTCGAGAATCGTTGGTAGCCCGCTCTTTGGCCAGGCGTTTCTGGAGCCGGGGCTCCTGGGAAAGGGCAAATAAGGCCCACTGGCTGCTAAAGGCGGTCTGGAGTAAAATCATATTCAATTAGAAATGGGCTAAGCATTTGCTTTTTACTACTTACTGTGTCACCTGCTGCAATGACCAAGTCCACAAATATTCGCTTAATCATCTCGGCTGGTACATCCGCTGACTGGAGACGATGGTAAAGGACATCGTCGTGCGCTTGTCGTTGCTCCTCCTGCAGTCCTATGCAGTGATCGATGATGGCTGCACCCTCACGCAGCACCTCATCTACGTTGGCTTCGAAATTCCGCCAAACGGGCAGACGCAGAGTCTGGGCCAATCGGGGCGGGAATGTCATCAGCCGCGAGCTGTGCTCGAACACCTTGTGAACTATCTGGGTGAAGTAGTCCAAAGCAGATTGGATCTTGGGGCAGGTGAGGACACTGTTGCCAAACATAATGCAGCAAAGTACTAAAAACAGGTGAAAAATAGAATAATAAGAGATTTTGAAATCCCCATTGTATGAGTTATCCATGACAAGTTACCTTCTATTGACCATCGGTAGAGCTGCTGCTCCAGCAAGGGCAGTTCGTAGCTTTGAATCTCATCGCCCTCTGCTGGCTGAATCGCCGCTACCTCTGCTGTGTGACGCCTCCACTGCTCCACCATCCTCCTGGTACAGCTCTCAATATGAATGTCCATCCAATTCAAATTTCCGTTGAGCAGCAGGCGATTAAGTATGCGACGGTTATGCAGCCACTCGGTGCCCTCCCTGCTCCCATCGAAGAACAGAACAGAGATCGGTTTCGTAGACTGATAATTTGCAATTCAACGGACTCATTTCGTCCACTCCACTTACATGAAGAACAGTCCACGTTGGCAAGCATGCTGCTGGTTGTACAGCGTCCAGGCATCCGGCAGCGGATGCTGCGGATACTGACCCTCGTGCTGAAAGACTGCTCGCATTAAATTCGCGGAAGATACGAACACTGAATCCTGAGTACCGCCCAACCGTTCTCTGAATATGGGCCCATACTGCTTGTGCCTGGCATCGATGTACTTATGAAGGCTATGCAGAGTGGATAAAATTTAAAGTAGGGATCCTTGGAATTTTCAATTGTGTCGAACTTCTATAAATCGAACTTTCTTTCTGATTAGTTTACTTTTCGATAATGTTGGGGGATTGATAAATTAATTGAAGTAATTACAATATTACATATATACAAGCTAGTAAGTTCCAGCACTTTTTTTTTGGCAAAAAGTAATAGTAATCACTTTTTAGTACTATTCCATAAAGTTGGAAACTTTTGGCAGTATATTTTTAAAGTGGAAATAGTCCGGCGTAATAAAAATGTATTGACATTTAGGAAAGATTTCCCCATGTGTTTCTTAATTACATTTGTTTTGAGTTGATAAGTTGATTGTGCTTAATCCGACTTTTAGAAGTTCAACATTATGGATTTACTGCGTGGCTCCTCCGGCGGCTATTAGATCCAGTAACGTTCCGAATATGGGAAGTCCCTTAACCCGCGGAATGGGTACATATTTGGAGGCGGGTGATAGTTCCAATCCGGATATGCAGTCGTTCGGAGGCGGTTTGCTTTTCGCCCGAAAGAGACTGAGATTGAGGATTCGCACCAGGAGCCCGTCGAGCAGGTGTCTCAGCCAGTGAAGCGGGCCCGACCGCTCCCTCTTCTCTCTCATCACTATACGTCGTCACGGTGCCAGCAGGATGTAACTACCTGCATTTGCTCAGGTGTAACGCTCCAAATATAAACGCGTCCCGACAAAAGGCCAGGCTAGGGGCAGACTGAATCGAGCGGCCGGACTAGCAGGCCTTTTAACCCATCGGTAATCGAGAGAACCGGTGATCGCGATCGTATCGGATTGGATAGATCGGCTACCTGCGGTGCCTGCCTACGATCAGTATGTCGGCGATGCCGGTGGGCATCGAATCGAGCATATGCCTGGCCCTCTCCGTTTGATATACATATGCGCAAATCCGATCGACATTGGCCAGACGAGCTGAGTGGACACTAAAACTCTGCTGGCCATGCAAATTGACTCGACGAAGCGCGCAAGTAGGCAAGGTAAGGAGAGCTAGTAAGTTGAGGTAATTGCTAACTTCTCTTACATTTGTTTTGGTCGATTATGGGACAAATCAAATCAATCTGCTTTCGTGGGGGTGTTAATATAAAATGATTGACGAAAATAAAAATGGAAAGTAAAAATTTGGTATTTAAGTTCATGGTTTTTATATTTAAATGGAGAATTTAAAAAAAATGTTAAGTATTTATTAAAAAAAACTAATAGACTTCCGACATATGTATGTTTTCAAATATGAAACGGTGTGAAAGAATGAACGAGCTACTCGAATATTTAATCGCAGTTAACATGAATTTTCGAAGTCGCCAGCAATCGGGTTTTGTTCGAATTTCGTGCCGTTGCTGTGTGTTAGAAGAGTACGACTAGTGGTTGTATTTGGATTGGGTAATTCAAATTTACGTTTAGCGCGCTCAATCGGGTATTTTTACTGATAAAATTATTTTAACTGAAAAAGATCGAAAGAATACAAAAAGATTTTACTATCTTCCTATTTATAATAAAAATATAAAAAAAAAATTGAAAACCCAGGAAACAAGTCCCAGAGCTATGACAATAACTGTTTTGTGCAGCTTTCCACCGAAACTTACAACCCATAAACTTTTGGGGAAGAGTTCTAAAAATTTAATTTTTTGTCAAATTTTCGATTTTTTGACATTTTTGAAAAAAAAACCAAACAACAAAATTCCCATATGCTGGTTTTTACGCCATAAATCAGCCAAAACAAGTCCTACAGCTATGTTAAAGACTGTTTTGTGCAGCTTTCGACCGAAAAAGTTTTTAAAATGTGTATCCTGTCCAAAAAATATTCTCTTCTGTCAAACATTCGGATTTTTAGCCTTTGCAATCATTTTACTTTAAATAACCTACGTGACAGCATGAAATAATTTATGTTTTAACCAGATACTGAGATTTAAAATATTTGAATGAAACGGGAAGAGCTGAACGTGTGGCATTAAAGGCGCCATATTTCGCATGTTTCAGTTTAGTTGACACTAAAAATAAATCAAATAGAAACATACAAAAGCTAGATAAACCCAACAAATACGTTGTCATAAAGTTGACAGGAAACAGAACAAACAAAAATAAGACGAAGGAGCGCTAAAATGTGGGTGTTTATCCATTAATAGTTGGAATTTGAATAGTTTGGGCTACTAAACGAATGAAACCCGAAGTCGTGACCTGAGAATCAACTTTACGTCTTGACGAAGGTTGCAAAAAGAAGTCATAAGTAAGGGAAGGAAAATCGCGACCATACTTATGGTTTATTGTGGAAGGTAATGTCACCCCCGAATTCCACCACTCTCCGTAAGCAAAAAAGGGTTCGAAACAAATAAATATTGTTTTTTGCCTTTGCGGCAGCACACGCGACATGCATAATAATAATAAAAATAATAATATCGGAAGAATGAAAAGGGTTTGTGGATCCTCAATACATATAAAGAAAATATAGAATAACATGGAAAACAACATATAACAATAGGAGTGAGGGCCCCCGCCACCATTCCCTGTTGAGTTAATGCAATAATAAGAGCGATGCGGAAAGGGCATAAATAAAAATATATAAAACAGCCAAGGGGGCGGGAAAACAAAGCTCAAAGCAGCATGACGCCATTTGGAAAGTGACGCCTTCCGCTTTTATTGCTAACTGACGGGAAGAGGAGCAGCAGGAGATCCGGAAGTTGGAACGAGCTTTTTTGGAGGAGGGACTCGCGTATCATGAAGTTCACAACGAGTAAATGGAAGGTTGTCTTTTCCTCGGTGGGAAATGGGAAAGCCGAGATGGATGAGCCAGGATTTCCTTCTCCATTAATATTGTGTCTGAATAGTTTTCAGTTAGACACGAAGGAAGTTGATTTGATTCAATGTTTAGATTTGCTAAGTAGTTAAGTGTTTTTGCCTGTTGTAGTAAATTGAACGGATATCAAGTCATTTTTATCTGAATGTTGATCAAAGTTAATTAATTTGTATTCCTTTAATCAGCTCTATTACATTGTAATTAACAATTTTTAATCTCCTTCCAGCAGAAAAAGGAAAACAAAATTTCTCAGACTTAGTTTAAGGATATCCTTGTCAAAGCAAATCCTTACCACAAAATCCAGCTTAGCTCACAAGTCCAAATACTTTTCCAGACCAAAAGGCGAGTGGCCAAAATAACCAGATCCATGACAACTTCAGCTTTGCTCCAACTCTGCTGGAGTATCCTGATGTGAATCGTAAGCGGAAGTCCTTACAGCTTTTGCATATCCTAAAGTGCCACTAAGTGGTGCTATCATTCTTTCATGTGTGTGGAATGTGATGGTTATCACACGCCACAACAGCATTTGTGGCTCCACTTGCATGGAGATGGGGATACAAATACACTTAGATTTGGAGATACAGATACTCACGGATGGAGCCCAACACTCTGTGCATCCTGCATATATCCTGTATTCTGTGTTTGCGAGTTTCAAGTGTTTGTTGATTCTAGTTCACCTACCCAATCCACATTCCAAAACCTCGATTCGCTGCGGTTTTTGTATCGCTGACCACAACAGAATTTTACTCTCTACTACTATATTTTTTTTCGCCACTCAAAGGGCCCTCCTTGCTGCTCCAGTTTAACCCCAACCAACCTCCCAACTGCTGCTACCAAAAAGTGTCCAAAACATAAATGACATTTATATTGGTTATAGTATTAGAGAAGGCAACTTGCTCTGCCCCCACTCCCCTAGTGTATACGTGCCAACATTTTGGGTCATAAAAATAAATACAAAAGCAACAGCAAACAGTGCTCAAACAGGAACAAACAATTTATACCACGGGCTAAAGAAAGGGGAGGTCAAGCTATGAAATATGAGAAATCGCACGCATCCATAGTGTGTGTATGGTACATAAGGTCCGTTTCATAATCGGATGACGTTGAGAGGTTTGACAATATGATCGCAATGGCCAAAGGAGAACTACAAGTTTGTTGTCAATAACTTAGGGCATTATTTATCTAGCGTCTTCTTGAGTCATTGAATGTGATTCCTGTCATATTATATAACTCTTGTTATATCTTAAAGATATTTGTAGACTCTTTGCTAAAACTGCTTCTTAGGCATTGATACTTATGAAACGTGGCGTTCTTTAGAGTAAACGTACAACATCTCTCTGCCTATATTTGGAATTTGAAACTTTTGGCCAAGTAAAGAGGAATAGAAGCGATAACAATTTTCTGGTCACGTGGTCAATAGCGTGAGCTAAAACAGGGCTTAAAGAGTCATAGTCAAAGTCAGAAATTGCGTATACGCCGCGTGCGTCAAAACGCAAATGTCAAAATTGGCCAGGCCGAGGGGTCACCATGGCCGAAAGGGGTGTGCCACGGGTTGGGGCAGCTTGGGCATTGTGTCAAGTGTGGGTGTGGGCGTGTGTGTGGGTATGGGTGAGTGTTTTGGCCCAAGTGAGTGGCTTAGGCTATGTGCGTGCCTTTGGCATATTTGTGTACCAACCCCACACATATGAGGACGCAAGGAGTAATAGGCAGGCTTTCAGTTAGAAAGGAGGGAGGGGGTCACGTAAAGGTAAAGTGAGCGATAGCGAGAAGCAAGTTCAATGGCTTCGCTCATAAATCCATCGCCGCAGCCAATGTAAATAAACAAGGCTGCCAGGCAGTCGGGAAAATGAGAAAAGCGGGACTGAGTCTGGCTGGAGCAGGCAATATTCGCAGTCGAGCAGATAGATAGCCAAAGCACCGAAAAAACAACCAATCCGCCTACCCACGTGGGCACACGCAGGATGCATGCCACGTGCTGATTAAAACCTTTTTCATAGGTTGCCCTAACTTTGGGGAAAAGCAATCACGTGAAGGGAGTTCCCAGAGAGTTTAGCCAGACACCAAAAGGGGAAAAAGGATTTTAAATTCGTTTATTCAGCAACAAAAACTAGTAATTGCTCTGAAATCCATATACGAAAATGTTAATGTTCAATATTTGAACAGTAGGAAAGCAATATGGTCGATAACAAACATTTTAATTACGCAGAATATTTATTATTGCAGCCAAAAATATTGTTGCCTGGGGCTCTTGTTTACCATGAGTTCATTATATTTAAAACTTATAAGTGAAAAAGGCAAAAAGTATTAATATTTATTTAAATTAAGTCTTTATTTTCCTTTACAAATTTCTCGTAAGAAGAGAATACACTTGTTGGGTAGGATTTTCTTGGCAGCTCCGACCTGTAGGTGACAAAATTTTCCAGTTTTCCACTTTTCACTTTCGTCATATCCTTTTTCTCAACCTTTATCGAATTCTGTTTTTTTCTCTGTTCAGTTATTTTCCTTTAGCTTGGGCTTTTTTTGGCCAGACGTTTGGAAAAAGGGTTTTATTTCTTGGCTAAGTCATGCACGATGAGGGACCAAAAACATAAATACAAAATCATTTTCGTTTTTTTCGTTGTTGTTTTTCGGTTTATTTGGAAGGTTTTGTGCCTCGAAGCTGCTGCTGTTGCTGTAGCTACTGCTGTTCTTGTTGTTTATCCTGTGGGCCTAAATCATATTAATGAATTTTCTTTTTGGTCATGTTTCGGACCTCGGTCAAGTTTGGCAAGGGTTGCGAATGGAAGTTTGGGGGACATTAATTACGCAAAATTAAATTTGATATCCTCGCATTAGCCGTGAATCAAGAAATGTACAAAACTGAAACGGTTCACCGAGTTTTCCTTACTTTTGAGGGAGTTTTTATTTGGATGTGGGGGTACTTTGTGGGGTCACCACTTGAGCGGCTTAGTTTAATTTATGTTTTAAAAAAAAAGGAAAAAACAAGAAATAATAATTGCCTGCAATGCGAAATCCGCTTTTGGTCATTAGCGGAGTAGCCCTTTTTTTTGGGGTTGGTGTCAAGGGGGAGTTTGCCCAAAGGATGAATGCGTGAATTTGAGTATGGGGGTTAGCAGTCAGCTCCCTTCTGAATTTATTTGCCTCGCGCATTGCGGACCTCATTAGCAATAGTTTTGTTTGGCTTTGTCTGGTTGTCGGTTCAGTATAGTTTGGGATGGAATGTTTATTTTGAATCCCCCTGTTTTGCCAAATCCAGGCATAAATCATGGCCCGGACTGCACTGACAGTTGCGGCGCCATCGATGATGATGATGACGGCATTTTGTGGGCAGGGTATAGGGCTTTATCAGTTAGCCGACACTGTAATAATTCCAGACTTGGCTCCGAACTGCGGCCCAACTAATTAGCCCACAAATGTGCGACAAAGCGGGGGATGGGACGAGGGGACTCAGTATCGAGGCACTGGGCAGTGTCCATAAATAATGACAGCTAATTTAAATGGATTGCTAAAGGCAACAGCCATGTCATATGTGGATTTTCCAAAAACATTGACAACAGTTGAGCCTTTTCGCCCATTTATGTGGATTCTTAAGAGGATTTTGTTATTAGAGGTAATGGATTGTTTATTTTTAAAAGAGAATAATGAGAAATATTAGGAAATCCTATATATCTTTTCCTTCTCTGCAACTTACCATCAGCCAGTTCTTGACCCTTCCCATTTTAATTACTCTTCCATTACTTAACCCACCTTCTGAGTGGAGACCTTAATTATTTTATTAAAAACTCCACCAGTATCAAATTGTTCCTTCACTTTATCATCCCCCTTTTCCTTTGGCAATTTTAGCACTTATTCAGTTGCTATGCCTACTATTTCAATTTAGCATGAATCTCGTCCTCTCCTGCATTTGGCCTGTATATCAGGTGTCCTTGGTAATACTAACCCATTTATTTAGGCAAAAAATAGTAAAATATAAAGTAGAGGAAGTTATTTCCTCCATCTCACTCAGTTTATGCCCCACCTGTTTTTCTTCTTTGGCTTTGTCTGTCATTGAGTGGGCTAGAAGATGGCAAGATAAAAGGGGATGGTGAAAGGAGGAGGTCGGCTGGTTAAACGAGGAGGCCAATCAAGCTGCATGAGTGCATTCTACTGGAGCTCAGCTGCATCTTCCTCACACACAGCGAAACACTCAGTCACACACACAAACAGAGCGGCAGGAACACGTGTGTGGCATCATCATTAACGGTACCGAAAGGATGGAGGTTTCAAAGGAGAGAAGTCGGGGGTCTCAGACTTTCTCCCATTTACCTTGCCCCTTTTCACCTTCCTGTTGTCTTTGCTGATTGCCTGCTAAAGGCAGATAGCAAGAAAGGAAAGGAGACTTAGTTAAATCCGTATTAAGTCAGATATCCGATCGGAGAAAGATTCCGCTGTACCATTGCTAACTGGTTGAAGTACAGGTGGACTTCGATAGTGGCAATCCTTAAAGAATATTCAGTTCAGAAGATCGATTTCTTTTGATTTAAAGTAGGCAAAGTATTTATCAATATGTTATCTTATCTAATAATTATTATTGATATTATATAATCTTAAACTTAAGTATATATCCATATTCTACTTTTTATGTGCATTATTATCATCAAAAACAGCTAAAACTATAAAAACTTTGATTATAAAGAAGTCTGCCTGTTTTCATCATGATTGAATGGATGGCAGTTAAATATGGGAATTCGATTTGAATTTGATTTCGATCCGAAGCGGATTCCCAAGTGCGGTAATTGCAAATTTCGTGTTAAATCGGTTTATCCCAGTTCGAAATGCTAATTTATTTGTCAGTGTGCAAGCGTGTGTGTGTTTAGGAGTACTCCCATTTTGTGAGTGTTAAGCCGAGCATGAATAATTCAAATCAAAATTAATTTGTTATTAGTTTGCAGCACAAACTACACAAGCAACAGGCATCGTGGCAAAAAGATGCAGACGGGGGCAGAGGTGGAAAAAACTTGGAAAACCAATAAGTATGGTCGGGCATAAAGCCAACCTCATTAGCAACTATGTATTTATATGCGTACATAAGAGGGAGCGAAAGAGAGGGAGCCAACATGACTTGAATAGCGCCTTCAAGAATTTACATAAAACACTAAAAATATCAACGACCAGCGACGATGTAAGAAAGCAAAAATACAAAACCAAGAAAAACTAAGAAAAATGAAATTCAAATAAACCTTAAAATTGACTTAGCAACAACGACGACGACAACAGGAACAACAACAAAGAAGTCGGTGACAGAAGCAACGCAGCGTCAGCAGAAAAAAGAACTGTAAAAAAGCTTCATGACAAGACATCAACAAACAATCAAGCGACGAAGAAAAATGAAAAGGAAATGTAGATGGTATTAAAGTCAGACCTGATAGGAAAAAGGGAAAGCTTTCCGTTACTTAAAGCAGTAGTTAGTTTTTCGTTAAATCAAATAAGTTCGATCGGAGTCGTTCCTAAAGCCTCGTTACCTTTTTATTTATACTCGTACTTCATATTATGGCTCTGTCGTCTGAAGAGTTGTGGGTCCCCACTTTAATGCAACACATCGAACTCAAACAGGTTGGCAGACGCAAACATCACAGCGAGTGGCGGTTGAGAATTTCAAGAATGTTGAAATGTTTATTTGAGTCATTTGTTTTACTAACTTCTAACTTATTCAATAAGAAAGAATTAAATAATTGTTTTTGTTAAATAAAAACATTTAAAATTATAAACTTATGATGATATTTTTTTGATAATATGGCATTAAATATACTTTCAATAAAGATTTTTTAATCAAGTAATCAAACAAATTCCATCGGTCACTATTTCTACTTTTAAAATACTATTATTATTGGGTTGATACTTAAAAGTCAATTTTAATTATAAGAAAAGTGGGTATGATGATTACATATCTGTGAATTGAATTACAAAATCAGTATTAATTGTTATATGTACCATTTATTACCTTCAAATTAAGCGTAACTTAATGTTCAATTACCACATTTTGTAATATCAATTATTTGTACTTGAGAGCTGCAGCTCCACCACCCCCGCTTCCATAACCAACGAACATGTTTGAGCTCCTTGCTAACGTCGAACCTGTTTCGGAGCCGGCTGCCATTGTGGGGGCCGCTCTGCTTCGCCGTTGCCCCTCTGCGGTTCCCTCTGCCGCGTCGCCGCTGGCATTGGCGCTCGGCGTCGCTGCTCGGCTTCAGTTTCAGTTTGTTTATAAACTTTGTGCTGTGCGGATGTGTGCGCGCTTTCGTCGTCTGGGGAAATTGCTGGTCAAATCACAACTACGAGCTACGAACTTCGAACCTACAAAGCTAGCTGTTTGGCGGTCCGTTCTGCCCCAACCACCGTACCGTCGCTGTTGTTCCGACTACCGTCCGCCAACACCGCTCCTCCCACCCACCCACGCGGTCGAGGAAAATCTAAGGAAAAGCGCGCGCGCGACAAGTGAAGCGCACAGGTTATAACTGTGCTCGTATGGGTGAAACAGTGAAGCAGTGTTTATTTGTGTGATTTCTTTTGTTTGCTGGCCAATTGTGGGGCTTAATTGAATGCTTGTCTCATATGGGCTAACAGAACCCACAGGCCAAAGAAAAAAAAAATACAAAAACAACATCAGCAAAAGCCTACTCGAGTGTTTCGCAACGCCATAAAAAAGCAAATATATATATTGGAAAAAAGAGGAGAAATACCAAAGCGGTACATATACACGCACATATCGACGAGAAGAGAAGCTAAGCCAGAAACACTATATATATGTATATGTTTGTATATATATATATGGCATATAGCATATAAAAACCAGTTTCGAGCCGCAGCAGAATCAAAAGCAGCGCAGTCGCAGCGTTTTGGCCGAGGTGAGTTGTGCATTTGTGTATGAGTCTATGTGTGTAAGTGTGTGTGTGTGTCTGTTTTTACCGCCCACATGTCGCGGCTTTCTCTGCCAACGGCGCAGTCGCCGTTGACGTCAACGTCGTAAACTGGCTTTTGTCGTATGTGAAAAGTTACTTTAATTTGATCGGAGAATCCGTCCCTTACCATAACCTCCCTTTCCCCCTAAAAAAAAAGCCCCAACAACTTGTTGAGGCATTCTTCATTTTGCCAACCAGAACCGGAGACAACTCCAATTGGATTCTAGAACCCAGAAAATGTAAATCATTTCAAAGAAACAACAAAATACCAGTAAACTAAACTAATTTGCACAGTTTTGCTTTAGCCAAACTTTGTCTCCCTCGCTCTATGCTAACAAAAAACGATAAAAACATGTCAGCTTAGCAAGACGAAGTTTTTATACACTTGCATATTTTTAACAATTTTCTATGGCTATCATAAAAATTGTATAATATTGGGAATTTAATTTAAAAAACATAAAAAATATTCGTAAAATAATAATGGACTATCAATAAGTTATAATCTTTAATCTTACTCTAGTTTAATTCAAATAGTTCAGGAAATTCATAGTACCCTCCCTTAGTGTATTAAAAACACTAATTTAGACAAGATGAAGCAACAACAACAACAACAATAGCTGATAGCAAAGGCAAAGCAACAACAAAAGGAACAACAAGTTAACACAAAAAGCACCGAAAAAGTTTTTAATTGTCAACTTTAAGCCGAAGCCAACTTTGGTGGAATATAGTGGAAGAGTTGTTGCTTTTTTTTTTTGGCAGCGCATCTTCCTCCTTTGCAGACTCTTATTTAGCCTTTTTATGGTCTGTGCTCACTAATTGAAATTTAGTTCACTTACTCTCTAGTAGTAGTTCTCTCTAGTTCTTCCAGCCTCATTCTCCATAGTACTCCCCTTTTTTTTTGGTAACATGATTTTTTTATTGTTCGTTTAGGCTTTTGTTCATTGAATTAGTTATTCGGCTAATCAATAAGGAAATTAAAATTGACGGAGCTTGTATTAAACTAGGGGCTATATAGTTTATAATTTATAATGTAATGTATAGTTGGAAATTATAATTTATAATAGCATAAGGATAATATTACTAAAACTTCTTTGGAAGCTCATTTTTCAACACCACTGTCAGGTCAATAGATTCTTCGACTATATTGTATATAAATATCACCACCTTTTGGGGCAGTTATTATTTAAAATGGTTGTGAGGATATAACATGCTTCGACTATGTTACCTGATGGCTACATCCCTTTTACGCACTAACTTAATTATCTTTCAATCTCCGTATCCTGATCTACCCCAATATTGCCCCGTTCCTCGCGCCTTTTTAATTTGTTTGGCCTGCTTTTGCCGAGTCTTCATGTACTCGTATTTCACAGTTTGTCTCAATTACTGGCTCCTGTCCCTTCTCCTTGTGCCCCAACCTCCAGCTTCAGCCCCAACTTCATCTCCATGGACCTGCATCCACTTTTGTATGGAACTTTTGTTTTCATGCCATTTTTCATATACTTTCGCTAGCTACGCACAAATTAAAAGTTTTATGCTGTCAGAGAAAGGGAGAGTTTGGGAGGGAAGGGAAAGGGGATGAATATGGAGTCTGCATGGACTCCACAGTGCATCTACCACTAGAACTGGGACTAAAACTGCCAACTATCCCTGCAAGCCAGACTTAATGCGCAACAATATTTTTTCTATCGCACAGCAACAGCAGCGCCAGCATCAGGCTAAAACTTTGTCCATGCCCCCAAACCGAAAATATTCAACCTACCCTCTCTCCTACCGTTCGTCCTATATTGCCCCCCGGTGGCGTCCTCATATCTTCAACACTTTCACCGGGCAAATATTTGGAATACATTTGCTAGAGCTGCCAGGAGACAGACTTTTGGCATAATTTGTATGCAAAAATTTCAAATAATATACATGGAACGACACCCACTCAAATGTGTGTATCTGAGTATCTGAGGGATGTCCCTGCTGCTGACAGTTTATAATTTCAATCAGTGTCACACTTGTGACAACTTGTTATGTTTTATTGCCCTGATCAGGAAGGAAGTCCATATCCTCCTCTCTTTTCCCTTTAAACAAATTGAATGGAAATTCATTCATTTCGTTGGCAAATGTTTCATGATCTGCTTTTTGGCCCACTGTTTCCCACCCACTTTAAGTCGCAAAGCCAATGAAAGGAAAACAAAGGATATTTTCTTTAATTATTTCCCATGCCGGACGGACACATGTCGACCGAATGCAAATATTCACAAAAATTGGCAAACAAATACATTTACATTTATGTGAGTATAACTTTCGACTTTCAACTTTGCCAAGATAACAACTAAGGAATTGAGGGAATGGAAGGTAGTTTTACTTTCTGTGGTTGCAACAGAGATACCAAAATAGTTCCCTTTGTTTTTGAGATATTTGCTTAGCTTGTGGCTTGGTCACGGGTAGTAATTGCAGTACCGTCTGCCTGAAACCGGCCAATTGCGGATAAAACTCTGGTCAGGTGGGTGCTCTGATTGCCTCGAAGTCGAAACCAGAAATATCTGAGAACTTTAATTAAATTGCCAAAAATTTGTATCTTACTGGACAAACAAGTTGGAAACCAAAAGAAATTAAATGAAAATGTGCAGCAGGACAAGAGGGAATAAAATGAAGAAATGCTTACATTTTTAAACAACAGCTCTTTAAGGCAAGATGCAGTTGCAGTTGCATTTATAATATTATTATTTAAGACAGTAAACAGTTTATTTATTTATAATCTGATGACACCCAACAATCGATATAATTAAATGTGTCTTGTTGCAATCACTGTAAAGTGGAAAACGATTGTACAATTTCCTTAGTTTCCTGTCAATCAAAGTCAGTCAAAGGATAAGCGTGCGGCAACTTGATCACAAACTGCAATCTGCAAACTGCAACTACAGCAGCTAAAACTTTAGATTCGTGGGGGCAGTTACGCAGTTGCCATTGTTATGTTGCTTTGAAGACAGTTTCAACTAAATTGCAAGTGCGGCAAGTTGTGTGGAATGAAAAGGGGTAAATTTAGCCAGCCAGCACAAGATACAGATACAGATTTAGGTACAGACGATCCCCTGCTGATGCTGATTTCATGGCGAAAATATTTGCATCAAAAGTATATATAAATGAGTCAGAAAAAGGAGGCCGAATAAATTTTCCATAAAGCGAATTAAGCCTGGTACGCAGAATTTAATTCAATCGCCAGTGGAAACCTTTAAGAATCTGGGGATTGGTGAATATTTGCATAAAATCACAATTAAAGCGATTGCCGGCTGCCTTTAATTGTTTTGTATCTCTCAGATACATTGTGTAAGCCACGCCGCATACATTATCTTTATCTCTGCCCGTCTGGCTGGCTGCATATATGTATATCCCCACCTCCCCCCACCCTTTTGTGTGTCTGCAAAAAAAAACATAAAAAAAAAGGAACAGAAGTGAAATATAAAAAACGTGGAGGCGTCGAAGCGAATTTATGACTCACGGGTTGATTTTTCTCTCCATTTTCCTGGCCGTGGCTGTGGCTGATGTATCTGTATCTTGCAACTGCCACTGCAGCACTGTAATTGTCGCTTACGTGTTAAAGAGGTGAGCTAGCAAAGTTCCAGTGGGTAGAGAACTTCTATCATTTTTTTCCAACTTTGGCTTTGGCACGCCGAAATGTCTCTCTATATATGCGTTTTTGTCTGAGCCATATTTGCCTTTGAGGCATGCCACAAGTCTGGGTAGTCCCCATCCCCTTCCCCTCTTCAGTCACTCTCAGGTGTGTGCGTGAGGTTTTGTATGTGTAGGTGGAACGTGCCACAAGCTGCCAGCTTCTGGAAATTTTCTTTTCTCATTTCTGCCTGTTCTGCTTTCTCCAACATGTATTTATACCAGAAATTTTCCAGGGTAGCAAAGGCTTTTTTTTTTTTTTAACTTTAAAATCTTTAGATAACATCTAAGATGATTTATTTTTCAGATTTTTTCAAAAGACACGAAAAAATCGTTGTCATACTTATACTTATTATCACTCTTCATTACCAGTTCCCTTATTTTATTAGCGTTTAATAGGTATCTCCTCAGCTCTTACCCCCGATTCCTGACATTATATATATATTTGTTGTTTTTTTCTTTTAGCTGCCTGTCTGCGGCTTATTGTGTGAATTACTGCCGGGCCATTCTCCTTCCGTCGGGGTCTGAAAAAAATGAGAAGTAGGGTTTCTCTGAGGTGGTCTGAGGGTGGTCTAAGCTCCTCGGATTACAGCTATCAGCTGCTGCTGCCACCATCCGTTTCCCTCCTGTCTTTTCCAAAAGCTCGGCTGCGTTTTCGTTGGGCGGTGGGAGTGGCATCTTGACTTTTTGGGCAACGAGAGTCTGAAGGACGGAGGGGTAAGGTCAATGGCGCCCCTATTTGGCATCAAAGGCAAAGCCAATGGCCTGTCAAATTTAAATATAATTAGGCATAAATTGTTGCAATTTGTAAAGCAATCTACTGCGGCTACATTTGAGTGGAAACCAGCAGGGAATGAGGTCCATTGGGTGGTGAATTAATTACGGGAAAATGTTTACAAGCAACTGTTTATGGATGAGATTTTATTAAGTTAAAGATGGCCGAGTTGGATTAAAAGAAAATTCCATAAGAATTGTTAAATTTAATGATTTAAATTATCCACACTTAAGAGTAAGATACTTCAATTTAATTTAATAAAAGAGATCAAATGGCTGGTACTTTTGGCTTTCCAACAACCTTGTCGTGTTTTGCTTTGAAATTGATTTTAGCTCTCAGAAATAAGAACATGTCCAATGTACACATCTTCATTATTCATTTAAGTTCAACATGAACATGGTTGCACTACCTCAGATATTTTTAGTTTCCTCCTTCCAATTTGTAGCAGCCTTCAAACTATTTTTGCCAACTGAACTTTTGGCCACGCTCCAGAAGTTGGCCAGGATGCGAATGC